CAGACGCCAGGGTCTCTGGCGTTTGGCCCCTAGCCTCCGCAAAACTCCTTTTGCACCGACCTAAAGCCTCATGGGCTTGACCCCTTGGCCTAACCATATCATCCAATATATGAATCTTTACGTCTTGACCATTTCGAGACTCCTCGTCATGTCCCCGATCTCATCCGGGACTCCGAACTCCTTCGGTACATCAAAACATGTAAACTCATAATATAACTGTCATCGTAACCTTAAGCGTGCGGACCCTACGGGTTCGAGAACAATGTAGACATGACCGAGACACGTCTCCGGTCAATAACCAATAGCGGGACCTGGATGCCCATATTGGCTCCTACATATTCTACGAAGATCTTTATCGGTCAGACCGCATAACAACATACGTTGTTCCCTTTGTCATCGGTATGTTACTTGCCCGAGATTCGATCGTCAGTATTCCAATACCTAGTTCAATCTCGTTACCGGCAAGTCTCTTTACTCGTTCCGTAATACATCATCTCGCAACTACCTCATTAGTTGCAATGCTTGCAAGGCTTTATGTGATGTGCATTACCGAGAGGGCCCAGAGATACCTCTCCGACAATCGGAGTGACAAATCCTAATCTCGAAATACGCCAACCCAACATCTACCTTTGGAGACACCTGTAATGCTCCTTTATAATCACCCAGTTACGTTGTGACGTTTGGTAGCACCCAAAGTGTTCCTCCGGCAAATGGGAGTTGCATAATCTCATAGTCATAGGAACATGTATACGTCATGAAGAAAGCAATAGCAACATACTAAACGATCGGGTGCTAAGCTAATGGGTCATGTCAATCAGATCATTCAACTAATGATGTGATCTCGTTAATCAAATAACAACTCTTTTGTCCATGGTTAGGAAACATAACCATCTTTGATTAACGAGCTAGTCAAGTAGAGGCATACTAGTGACACCCTGTTTGTCTATGTATTCACACATGTATTATGTTTCCGGTTAATACAATTCTAGCATGAATAATAAACATTTATCATGATATAAGGAAATAAATAATAACTTTATTATTGCCTCTAGGGCATATTTCCTTCATAGGGAACTTATCCTTGAGTGTGAAAGCATTAAGGGCACGGTAGTCGATGCAGAAATGCCATGTGCCGTCTGACTTGCGGACGAGAAGCACCGGTGCGGTAAACGGCGAAGTGGATAGCCGGATGATGCCCGCCGCGAGCATGAGTGCACACTGCCACTCCAACTCATCCTTCTGCAACTACGGATGGTGGTAAGGCCATACCGCCACCGGTGCAGAGCCTGGCAGAAGATGTATACGGTGATCGTACGCGCGGGCGGGCGGCAGCCCCTGTGGCTCGGTGAAGATGTCGCCGTGCTGCTGTAGGAGGATCTCCAATAGTGGGTGCTCGGCCATGGCCGTGGTCGCGGCGAGCTGGAGTGGAGGGGTGGGTGCGGCACCCCCAATGCCGGCCCACCGAATGCGGCGGCCTAACCGCCAGAAGGTCATCGTCAGCGCGTCGAAATCCCAGAGAATAGGACCAAGAGTGCGCAAGAAGTCGACGCCGAGGATGAAGTCGAAGCAGCCCAAGTCGATGCCGGTGCAGGTGATGGAGAATTGCTCGTCACCAATAGTGATGGGCACGTCGCGGGCGAGCCCGTGGCAGCGGAGACGGTCACCATCAGCGACAGTGACTCGCAACTGTTCACCGCCGGTCGACTGTAATGCCAGGCGCCGCATGGTGGTCTCCGGCAGGAAGTTATGTGTGGACCCTGTGTCCACTAGGGCCACCAGGCGCTCACCCTGGATCATGACCGGTAAGAGCATCGTCCGTTCATCACGGATGCCGGCCAGCGCGTGTAGGGACACCACAAGGGCGGTGGCCGAGGCGGGCGCAGGTGCCGCTGCGGGCTCCGCAAGGGCTGGGGCGCCGAGGCCATCCTCCAGTGGCTCCTCCTTAGACTCATCTGTCGTCTCCAAGTAGAAGAGGCGGGGACAGACATGACCTGGTGCATAGGGCGCATCACAGTTGAAGCACAAGGCCAGTCGCCAGCGTTCCAACTGTTCCGCCTGGGTGAGGCGCCTGAATGGCCGCGTCGGTGCCGGGGCGGCTGCCGGAACGGCTGCAGGGGCCGTCGGTGTCGCCGGAGACGGCCGGGGAAGCTGTCGGCCCCCACGTGGCGCAGATGGACGCGTCACGGCCTGGGCACGCTGCTCGAACGCCCGAGCATAGTACATGGCCGTCTAAAGGTCTTGGGGCCCCTTCATCTCGACGTCCACGCGGATGTGGTCGGGGAGACCGCCGATGAAAAGTTCCGCCCGCTGTAAGGCCGTCACACCGGGTGCGTGGCACGCCAGGGCCTGGAAGCGATCGGCAAAGTCCTGCACCGTGGAGGTGAACGGCAGACGGCCCAACTCGGCCAAGCGGCTCCCGCGTATCGGTGGCCCAAAACGAAGAAGGCACAGCTCTCGGAAACGATCCCATGGGGGCATGCCGCCCTCGTCCTGTTCAAGGGCATAGTACCATGTCTGGGCGGCCCCGCGGAGATGGTAGGATGCCAGCCAGGTCCGTTCCGACGCGGGCGTGCGCTGGCCGCGAAAGAACTGGTCACACTGGTTGAGCCAGTTAAGCGGGTCGTCGGAGCCGTCGTACGTGGCGAAGTCGATCTTGGCAAACCGGGGCGGCTGCTGGTGTGGCGTGCCCTGGCCCACTGCCTCAGCGGTGCAGAGGGCGGATGATGGCGCACAGGCCATGGTGGAAGGCCCGGCGTAGTTCCCAGCGGCGCCCGACACTGCGGGCTGCAGCGGAAAACTGGACGGTTGACGGGCCTCCGGGTAGGCCGATGGCTGCCCGTTGAGCCAGCCGGGGAGTGGCGATGGGGACGGCGGAAAGCGGACCTCCTGTATTGGGAGCCCGCTCGGCGAAGACCTGCCCAGGTTAGGGCTGGGCGGGGCCGGTGGAGGACCCTGCTCCGAGGCCGCTGGAAGGTAGGGCGCGACGGAGGACGGCGCGGCCGGCGCGGTCCAGGTGGGCCACTGCGGCCCCGTGGTGGCGACGAGTGGCGGGGCTGCCGGCGCGATCTGCGGCAGCCACTGCGGCCAAGGCGGCGGTGCGGCCGCTGGGGCGGGAAGCGCCGGGTAGCCTCCGGTGATGGCCCCCGGTGCCGAGTACCACGGAAGCGCCTGCTGACCCGCGGCCATGGCTGGATGGAGTGGGGGGGGCGGCCCGTACGGACCTGCCAGGTAGAGGCGGATCCCTTGAACCACGGTGACGAGGTCATTGAGGACGCCCGCCATGGCCTCCGGCGTGAATTGTTGCGGCTGCGGGGGAGGTGATGGCGGCGGCGAGTGTTGGACGGGGGCCGGTGGCTGCCCTTGGCCCGGCGTGGTGCCGGGTGCCGTTAGGGCCGGCGCTGAGAGCGACGCAGTGGTGCCCGCCGAGAGCGAGGCCGTGACGCCCGGCGCAGAGGCGGCGGTGGTGGAGGAGTTGGCGGGCAGCGGTGGTGGTGGCGGTGGAATTGGCGGAGACATGGTCGAAACCCGGTTACCTGATACCAAATTGATAGGGCTAGGGTTCCTATCGGCTCTACTCCGTAGGTTATATGGGCAGAACAACGAGGGTTGGGGGCGAGGGCGGCGGCTCCGGCGCGTGGGCGCCGTCGCGAGGAAGAAGAGGGCGGTGCGGCTAGGGCAAGGTGCGGCTAGGGTTTCCGGCTCCTCTGGAGCCGGGCAATAGGATAGAACTATTTTTATTGCTTAATTCTAAAAGGTATCTTACAATCTAATATTTATAACCTGAAAACGACTAGCCTAAGATAACTTGTGGGCCAAGCCCTTAATCTACTGCCCAGCGGGCCTCCTCCGGTTGTATTGTAAACCGGTCATAACAGAGGTGATCCTGGTTTGCAAAAGCTGTTGATTTGTTGTATTCTTTTCTATTGACAATCCCTAATCAGTTGCTTGTTCGTTACGAACAAAAGAAGCCAATACCAATTCTGGTATTTATTCAGCGGAGGTTCTTATCTTTTCCGTGTAGTTCGTGCCGGGACGCGATGACCACGAGTGACCTAGTCCTGGATTAGAGGATGCTTGACATGTCGGTTACCCCCCAAGATCATCAACTACTGGGCCTTGTTCATCAACCCAAGAACGCTAAGAACGGATAACCCGAAGACTTACACATAGTGTAAGGTTGAGAGGCAGTCTTCGGCAGGTTTACCGGTAGATGCAACGGACTTATGTGTAACCCTAGACATCCTTGATATGCATATACAAACCGAGGTGCCAGAGACGTACACGGACGAACTCATGCTGATACGATCCCGCGGTAGATAACCTCTAGTTTGTGCCTCATCCAAATCCAAATAATGTAATCAAAGCAAGCCGTAGGATTTTACCGATCCGAACCTAAATAAACACGATGCCACTTCTTACCATCATAGCAAGGTTAACAGGTCGAGACCTACTATTCGAGATCTGCCGGATTTAACTCCTCACAAGAGGCCGGCCGTCCATAGACCTCAGCTCGATCTGCGGCGTGCAGGACCAGGCAACGGACCCCCGCGAGGAACCCACTGCCATCAATGATCAATGAGAACGAGTGCGCTCCCGCCGCTGAGCGGCGAAAGACGATGCGAGCCGGACACGCCGAAGCCGAATTCCCCACCGCGAGAACTAGGTGACGCGCGGTTCTTTTCTCATCGGAGCGGCCATCTACTCACCGTCCCCCGGCTGCGCGCACAGTGACCCGATAAGCATCAGCTGACGCGCGTCGATCTGAATCACAACATGCAGCTGCCACGGACGCGCACGCTCAAGTGCAACTCGGCCGCGACTCCACGTACCACCTCTCGTCGACCTTACGTGTCCCCTCCTCCGCCGCCGCGCCGCCCACGCAGCCCGGTTAAAAGCCCACACGCACAGGCCACAGCGCGCCGCCGGATCATCACACAGTCAGTCCGAGAGAGCAACGACTTCCGTCCGTGACCAATCGAGCAACACCCACCCACACAGACATGAGCCAGGGCCAGCCTCGGAGGCCCGAGGGCGGGGAGGCCATGCAGGCCGACCGGCCAATCAAGTACGGCGACGTGTTCGACGTGTCCGGGGAGCTAGCGGCGCAGCCCGTGGCCCCCAGGGATGCGGCGATGCTGCAGTCCGCCGAGAACGAGGTGCTGGGGCTGGGGCAGACGCAGAAGGGCGGGCCCGCGGCCGTCATGCAGTCGGCCGCCACGCTCAACGCGCGCGCCGGCCACGTCGGCCGCGGCCAGCTCACGGGCCCCGTCGCCGACGCGGGCGTCACCGTCACCGAGGCCGACCTCCCCGGCCGCCGCGTCGTCACCGAGTCCGTCGCCGGGCAGGTCGTGGGCCGGTTCGTCGCGCCCGCGCCGGTGACGGCCACCGAGCCGTCGGGCGCGCTGGACAAGGACGCCGTGACCATCGGGCGCGCGCTGGAGGCCGTGGCGGCGGCCGGCGCGGGGGCGAAGCCGGTGGACCAGAGCGACTCGGCGGCCGTCCAGGCGGCCGAGATGCGCGCCACGGGGTCCAACCTCACCGTCCCGGGGGGCGTCGCCGCGGCGGTGCAGGCGGCCGCCGACCAGAACGAGCGCGCCGCGCGCGAGGAGGACAAGGTCAAGCTCCGGGACGTCCTCTCGGTGAGCCCCTGAAACCTCTACAGCTCGTTGTTATACTCGTTTTCTCCTCCATGATTGATTCATTTGCCCATTACTCCGTGGCAACAAACTGACGACAGGACGCGAGGAGTAAGCTGCCGGCGGACAAGGGGGCGACGAGGGAGGACGCGGAGAGGGTCGTGTCGGCGGAGATGCGGAACAAGCTGGACCTGACGACCACGCCGGGCGGCGTGGCGGAGGCGGTGACCACGGCGGCGCGGCTCAACCAGGAGCGCCCGTAGGCGTAGCGCCCTCTCCTCCCTCCATCTAGAGTCGTACAGCGAGCGTACGCCCGAGGTGGCGCGCAGCGGTGCGGTGCAGGATTTGTACTTTGTGTCCGAATAAAACGGTGTGTGCTCGTCGAGTCGGTTTTTTTTTTGTGACGTGCTCGTCTAGTCGTTTCTTGTATAATATAGAATGGAAGTGTGCGTAAGATCTGCAGTGTCAGTGTGCAAAACAATAACACGGGCGTTAAACTACTTTAGACAAACTCTTGGGAACACGCTTGTCCGTCTTTCCGAGACTCGGACGCCAAGACTGATGCTGATAGTACATCGCTGGACATTACTGACGTTAACTGTGGCTTGGAAATGCACATTTTGGGACCGCCTGAAGATTGTTTCCTTAACTTTCAGTCAAATCCCGTGATGTGCACTGTTCATGTACATCCTCTCACATTCTTCCTCCACCGCCATTCAACCTTCCACCGATTTTTTCGTTGGTGCGGTTCAAAAAGGGATTAGGTCCATTTAAACCCCGAACTTGTAGAGATTTGGCGAGAAGAAAACGACTTGACCCGGTCGATTGCACCCTGAACAACCGACTTGGTAGCCAGCGATGTTGCTGAGCCCAGTGGTTAATGAAATTGTTTTCCACCGTAAAAAAAAAACGACTTGAAATCCCCCCCGGTGTATCGAATGACTTGATATCCCAGTATATCAACGACTTGAAATCCCGGTTGGTTGCACCTAAACCCAATCTAGATTGAACCCCCAATGTATCCCTATCGATTGCACTGCACTCTGAGCGGCTTGAAATCCCAATCTAGATTAAACCCAGATGTATCCCTATCGATTGCACCCTAAACGACTTGAAATCCCTTGAAATCCCGATCGGTTGCACCTGAACATTGAAATCCCGAAATCCCGATTGATTGCACCTATAACGCAATCTAAATTAAACTCTGGTGTATCTCGGTCGTTGCACCTTAAAATCCCGGTCGATTGCACCTAGTCTAAATTAAACCTCGGTGTATCCCAGTTGATTGGTGCAATCGATTGCACCCTGAACGACGTGGCACCCAGTCTAAATTAAACCCTGGTGTTGAAATCCCGGTCGATTGCATTCAGTCTAAATTAAACCCGGGTGTGCACCCTGAACGACGTGGCACCCAGTCTAAATTAAACACTGGTGTTGAAATCCCGGTCGATTGCATTCAGTCTAAATTAAACCCGGGTGTATCCCAGTCGATTGCACCTCGAACTACTTGAAATCGATTGCAATCGTTCTCGAACTACTTGAAATCGATTGCAACCTGAACGACGTGAAATCCCGATTGATTGCACCTGAACATTGAAATCCCGAAATCCTGATCGATTGCACATGTACGCAATCTAAATTAAACTCCGGTGTATCTCGGTCATTGCACCTTAAAATCCCGGTTGATTGCACCCAGTCCACATTAAACCCCGATGTATCCCAGTCGTCGATTGCACCCAGTCTAAATTAAACCCCGGTGTATCCCAGTCGATTGCACCTCAAACTACTTGAAATCCCGGTCGATTGACTTGAAGCCGAGACCACCTGTTGTTGGTCAACATAAGTAACCACTAGGACAGTGCATCTGTCGTGTTCACTTGATCCCTTTGTCATCTTTTTCTTCTTTCTTTTTTTTCTTTTTTCTTTTTCTTTTTCTTTTTTGTTTTCATTTTTATTAAATTCGTGGTCATCTTAGTAGGAAATAGCACCAAAAAAACGTCGTGAACCAGATTTTCAGAAGGAAAAAATGTCATATTTTTTTAAAAGTTCATGAATTTAGAAAAAGTTCACAGTTTTTGAGAAGTTCATGGATTTTCAAAAGAAAAGTGCATGGATTTTGGGAAAAAAAATTGTAAAACTAGAAAAAGTTCATGGATTTAAAAAAGGTTCATGGATTCGAAAAACTCCACGAGTTCTATAAAAAGGTTCACAAATTTTAAAAAATGAATTAGATAAAAAGGAAAAAGAAAGAAGAACTGTATAATGAGCTTCCATGAACAAAATAAAAAAGAAATTGGAATAAATTATCCACAAGAGGTGAGGCGACGTGGTTGGTAAGGATAGTTTGCATCGAAAGCGGAGGTCGCAAGTTTGAATCACCTTGTGCGCGCACCTTTTTTCTAGCAGTGTAACAGGAAAAAGACAATTTTATCAGGTAAAAAAATACAAAAGGGCTAGCCCAGCGCAGAGGACATGTGCGCGCGCACCTTTGTTTAGCAATATTATAGAAAACCATTTTTAGCATACAAAAAAATACAAATGAGCTGCCCAGCACGGAGGACAGGTGCGCGCCGTAGTCAACATTGCCGGTCCTTGCCCCACGAGCTAGCCACTTTAGGGTTTTTATGCCTCAAATGATGCCAGGGTTTGATTTAGACCGAGATTGCATAGTTCAGGGCGCAATCGATGGGAATTTTGACTTGATGGTTCATTTCGCCGAACCTCTACGAGTTCGCGGGTTTAAAATGGACTTTCCCCTTCCAAAAAGCCCCTGCGTCCTCTTGTCCAAGGCGACACGGGTAGAAACCTAGCCGGGGCCGCCCTCCCGCCCCCTTCCTTCCTCGCCGTCATCGGAGGAGGCCGCCGGGCTAAGCCCAAGCGGCGAAGGGGTCATCTTCCTCTCGTTTGGCTACAGAAGCTCAGAGTGGGAAGGTTTGATCACCTTTTTCTGCGTAGCACGGGGGCGGGGGCGTCCTCCTCTCGTTTGATAACAGAAGCTCGGTGGGAAGGCTCGATCCCCTTCTTCTACGTAGCACGGCGAATCTACGTAGGGCCCCCGCGTCCCTGGTGCGCCTCGTCTACTCGTCTCCGGCGTGGCAACTCCCTAGCAGTGTCTCTCGTGGGTGGCAGCCATGGCAACTTTGCTGGCAGGCTCCTGGTCTTCGGTCATTTGCTCTTCTCCGACGAATAGGGGCAGGTGTGCCTCCTCCCCTTCCTGCTCTGTGCGGTGCCTCGCGCGGGCCGAGGCCCTGGTGGCTCCTATGGTGGCGTAGCGGTGGTGGGATGCCAAATCTGGTTGGATCTGGTTCGTCGGTGTTTGGGCGGCGGGGGAAGTGTGCTGCTTGGTGACTCTCCAGTGCTACCAATGCGGTGGCTCTATGAGAGGTTGGTGGGCAGCGGGGGTGCTGTGCGTGGGGGTGTTGGTGATGTTGGGTTGCTCCGAGCGAAACCTTGTCTGGTCTTGATGGTTGCCGGTGTTGACGTTTGCAGGTGTCTTTTCACCTTCCTGGAGGCATCGCCGTGGAGCCCCGTATCCTCCTACACACTCGGATCTTGATCTTTGGATGAAAGCCTAAGGCCCGCCTATGTTGTACGACGACGTCAACATCACCACTTCCTCTCTTTGGGGTGTCTCCTTAAAGAGCTTCCGATCTCATTTGTGCCATGGGTTGAACGCTCGCGACATTGTGGTCGGCAGGTGGCCGTCCAGTGATGCGATGTCAGTTTCCTATATGTGGCAACGAATGCGGCTTCGGGCAAAGGCAGGGTTGCAGTTGTGCTCTGGTAGTCAGTCTCATAAGGCGTGTTTGATGGGTCGTCATGCCTCACTTTGTCTCTATGAAGTCAGAGCTGCTGAGGTGGACATTGCAGGGACGATGACCTGAGGTGGGTGGTCGGTTTTGGCGTTGCCCTGGCGCAAGTCCAGCGCATTTCTCCTGCAATGCTCGTTGGCAGAGTCGGAGCTGCCTGGTCACCGACGCGTGCGGTTGACTGTTTGGCTTCCACCTGCGCAGGTCTCGGCATTCGTATTGCCATGCGAGCTAGTTTGTGTTCGTCAATGATGAAGTCGAGTCACCCTCTCGAAGGTGTGATGACGATGACACCGGGCTGCGACCTTGGTGATGCTTTTCTCCTCGACGACGTGTGTACGTTCTTGGGTGGGCTGCCAGGTCACTCGAAGTGCCTTGCTTTTACAGGCATACTGTGACAGTGTTCACCCATTTTTCTGTTAATTAACCAGACAACTCTCTTCTTACTTAGCAAATTCAAGATCATTTGAGGCCGACTTAAAAGACATTCTTCCACCACTGCCCTCCGACCCAAGACCGAATCGCCTCCCACCAGTGGCGGAGCGTGAACCAAATGTAAGGAGGGGCCAAAACGAGTGTATGACATAGAAAAGACTAGGGTGATCAGACAAGGCCGGAGGATTAGTAGAGCGATTAATAGAAATATAAACATACTGTGTAAATTTTTCTCTAGCAAGGGGTGGCCAAGGCCCGGTATTGTCCCCACTACGCTCCGCCACTGCCTCCCACGGCCAAAGGCACCGCCACCCTGACTAACCTTCTAAAGCCTCAAACCCCACTCCCACTCTCCAGCACCAACGGTCAACCCTGCGGCCGCACCTGAACCTTCGATGAGATCAATCTTTTAGAAGACTCAAAACATGTTAAAAAATTCTAAAAATATTTTTGGACACATCCGTGTATGATGTACTCCCTCCGGTCCTTTTTAGTTCGCATATAAGATTTGTCAGAAGTCAAACCTCGTAAACTTTGATCAAGTTTATAGAAAAAAAAATACCAACATTCCGAATATGAAATTGACAATATTAGATGTGTCATGACTTTAGTTTTCATATTGTATAAATTTAGCATTGTAGCTGTTAATATTTTTTTCATATAAATATGAAGTTTGACTTCAGACAATTTTTATATGCAGAGTAAAATTGACCGGAGGGAGTACAACCTCAAAGAATTTCAGCTCCTAATTCGAACTGCCCTTAGAGAACTAAAAAGGACAAAATTGGATGTGAATAGTGTCAAGTACTATTCATGCAAAGCTGGCACTATTCATAGATGAATTTCTCTTTTTGAATATCTTACTGTGGATCGAGTTTGAAGCTGATTTTTTTGGAGTTGTAAACTTAACTGCAAGGTCAAATATGAAATTTTGGAGTTGATTCTACGATCTCACCTAAATTTAGGTCAAATTATAATCTCCCCCTCTTTTAGCGCCCCTATGATGCCACGTTTTTTCCACCCCCTCTGGCTGCGACGCAGCAGTGAGCCCGTGGCGAGTTCTTATTGGAAACTTCGCGATGGCCTCCCTGAAACCGAGAAAGATTTCGGTTGCATTGCATGAGGCATAGCAAAGCCGGCACATTTTAGATTGGTACAGTACTCCGCTTTTTTCTTGTGACCGCTTCTCCCTGCCTGGGTCGCCATCCTCTTTCCAGGCAGTGGATTCAGATATACGAACTTGCAAATTAATAAGATATGGAGCACAGAAATACACCAACAACTTTATGGACCGAACTGCTCAATGGGATCTAAGTCAATGTCAATGGTAATATTCAACCTATGCTGTGCAACTTGAGCTTGCTGTCTACACACGAACAAGGGCTGCTTGTCGCAAACCATAATACAAAAGAAATCTGACAAACTTTCCACTATGTTTTCTAACAACAGCTGTGCGATTTCTTCCCAGGCT